GAGGGCAATGAAAATGCACAGAGTGGGGAACGGGAGAAAGGCAAAGGGAGAGGTGGGGTGGAGGAGGCAGAAGCGTGGAGCGGGGATAGGTGGTGAGGTAGGGGTAGAGCAGGTGAGGAGGATGCACAGAGGGGTAAAAGGTGTGAGGAAAGGGAGAGGTGGAGCAGGGGAGGAGGAAGCACAGAGGAGGGAAAGGGGTCAGAGCGGAGGAGGAAGAAGCACGGAGAGAGGAAGGGGATGAGAGAAGGGAGAGGGGAAACCAGGAAGGAAGAAGCAGGGAGCAGACAGTTGGGGCTAGGTAAGACACGGACCCATACAATCTGTAGATCCTTGGTCGAGATTCTGAGCTTTTCACCACCTTGGATGAGGCCATATAGCCAAATACTGTCTCATACAGGAACAACAGACCATCCAAGAGTTCATCCCTGCCCATAGACACCAACACAAGGTTATAGGAGTGCTCTCATAGGAGCATATGGAGCCCATCACAAGCCTGTAGATGCCTGGAGGGTCCGTATAAGCCGGGAGAGCCTGACCACGACCGATGGCACCTGTAGAGCCCAGTGCGGACCAGTATGAGCCTGTAGAGCCCAGTATGAGCAGTCTGCATCGCCCGAAGGCGTGTGCCCCGCCGTGCTCAGGACTGCGCTGCCACAGCCCGCGGGGCCACGGCCACGAGTGGGCGCTGTGCGCGGGACGGCCACGCGCGCTGCCCGCGTCCCGCTGCCCGCCGCTGCCCTCGTGTGTCCAAAAAGCATCAGCGCAGGGGCCGGAACGGAGCTCATTTTTGCGCCTTTTTGGCGGGGCCAGTTGTGCCGACTCGGAGAGCCCCACACGGCCCCCTTTACGATGCCACAGAGGACCACACCAGCCCATACGGCCCCACGCAAATCTGCAGAGGCCACCGCGGGCCCATATGAGGCCATAGGAGTCCGCACGGCCCCGCAGAGGCCCACACAAATCTGCACGAGCCCCATGAGTCTGCATGAGCCCTTACAGTCCTCTCCAGACCCATACGGATCCGTCTGCACCCTTACAGTCCTTCATAGACCAAGAGGAGCCTATATGGGCCCACGGGACTGCGCTTGTCTGTGGGAGCCAATGCAAGCCCACCAAGCCCATAGAAGCTTGCACTAGCCTGTACAGACACATGCAAGCTCGTAGAAGACCGTTCAGGTCCATATAACCTCATAAGAGCCTGTCCAAGCCCGCATGAGTTCATATGAGCCCATAAAGACCTGAATGAGCCCACATGAGCCCCTTGGTGGCCCTCATGGGCCCCTAATTCTGCTGCAAACCTTTAAGACACCGTACAGCCTTATCCATGTAAGGGACATGTATCTATGTCCCTTAAGGGAGGCTGTCACAAGGATGGGGACAGACTCCATTCAATGGTGCCCATCAATAGGTCAAGAGGCAACAGGCACAAGCTGAAACATGGGAAATTCCACCAGAATTTGAGGAAAACCTCGACCACGAGTGTGTGGAGCACTGAACCAGGTGCCCACCATGCTGGGGGGGCTCCACCTCTGGAGATATCCCAAACTCACTTGGATGTCATCCTGGGCACTCTGCTCGAGGTGACCCGTTTGTGCTGAGGGTTGGACTGGATGGTGTCCAAAGGTCCCATTTAACCTTAACCCTTCTGTGATTCCATAGGGGCTTGTATAGGGCTGGCACTCTGTCCCTTGCTCTCGGCAAAACCTCCACAGACTTCTCTCTATTTTGGGAGTGGCCAGGGACCACTGTTCCCTTGCACCCCATTCCCATGGGAGAAAGGGGTGAAAAAATCCACCCACGAGGGATGATTCTCCGCCTCCGGCCCCAGACCAGCATCCTTCCCCGTGCCCTTGTCGGGCGGCTCCCGCCTCGGCCGCGGCTCCCGCTGGAGCGAGCGCGGGAGGGAGCCGTCAGCAAGTGCCTTTCTCCCCATGTCCCGGCCAAAACCAACAAGCCCTGCCCAGGCTGCTGGCCGGCCCCACGCCTCTGTCACCGTCACCGCCCTCAGCACCGGCCGCTTTGCCAGATGTGCGGCCCTCGCACCGAGGCGATGGAGCAGAGGGAGGGTCATCTGAGAAGAAGGACCACCTCACAGCTGCAAAAGCTCAGAGCGAGGGGCCACGGAGTGCACCAAGTATGAAGGGATGGGGAATGTCCACACCTGAAGGAAGGGACAGGAGAGACTGAGGGGAGAAATTTGGAGGACAAAAATCCTTCCCACCCAGCCCAAGATCCTGGGAAGAGCTGTGAGCAACCTTCCAGGGCTTTTCTCATCCCATTCACACTGGGGAAGAGATGAGCAGAGGGAGATGTGCTCCCAGCGCCTGCCCTGGGCTTGGGATCTCTTTTATGGGGGGCCTTATCCCCTGGCAGCCCCAAAACACTCAGGGAGGGGTTTTTTTTGGGGGGGGGGGGGGGGATTGCAGGGCAGTTAGTTATGCTCAGAGGACTCCTAGGCTGGTTTTTGGGGTGGTTTCATGGAGCACTAATGCAGGGGGCTTTGTGGGGAGAATTTGCAGGCCAGCTTGCCAAGGCAAGCGGCTCATGGGGCAGCTTCTCTGCGCTCTCCAAACGCCCCACCGCTCTTTCCAGGCAGCTCCATGGCCAAATCCAAGGCCGCTTTCTTTAATCCCGGAGCAACGACTTCCTCCCTCCAAGCGAAACAGGAAACCATAGAATGGCCAGAGCGCTCCAGGGGCAGGCGGCACTGAAACCCACGCGGGATCAATCCCAGCCACCATCCCAGGCTTGATCCCAGGCTCTGCTGCTGCAAGGGGGACAAGTGTCCCGGCACGCCGGGCCGGGCATGCACGCTCTTGCTCACCAGCGGGTGTGCTCGCCTTGTGCACACTTGGGGACGGCGTGCGGGTGCCGGCTCGGTGCATGCCTGCGCCTGCCCCGCTCTGCGCGGGTTATTTGGGTTATTTATGTCCCGGGGAGGGGAGAGGAGTGCGGTGAAAGCCCCGAGTACAAAGGAAGGTGAGATTGCAAGAGGAGAAGCTGGGAGCCTTTGTGTCTGCGCAGGGCTTGGATGCAATTAAAGCAGGGAGTTTACGAGTGGGGTTATAAATGGCCGGTCGTTAAGTTTTTTTTATGTCTATGGAAATGAGAACCATGCGTCCTGGCCCCATCTTTTCTGCAGATGCTGGGCGAGCCCCCTCTAATGAGGCCACGCGGCTGTTTGCTCCCATCGCCGCTCACAGCCGAGGGCCAGGATGTCTGTGCGTGCCATCCATATCCCGCTGCCCACGGGATGCTCCTGTTTCTGCTCCGCATTCCCACAGCTTGCAAGGATTTTAGCGGCTTGTCCCGCTGGCCCGGGCCGTTGCCAGCTGTTTCCAGAGGCCGATCCAGCTGTCGGGTGCGGGGCCAGGGGATGCTGCTCTTTGCCCGTTGCCTCCGCGTCTCCGGATTAATCTGTGCCTAAGTGCTGCGGCCTTGCCGGCTGCTGTCGCATTGGCAGAGCTGTTTGGGTTTATTTGAAGATGGGAGCTGGAATGTTTGCCTCCAAAAGGGCTGCCCAGGGCTTTTCAGGGACGGGAAAGAGTGAGAAACCGAGGGGAGGAGTGAGAAGAATGGAAAAAAAAAAAAAAAAAAAAAAAAAAAGAGTTATCCACCCTTTCTAGTAGAATTCCTTCCAGATGTGGGGCTGCTGGGGGCTCCTTCCCTCTCCCTTGAATCCATTATTAATAATCCCGCTGGATTTCCGCCCTGAGCCAGGTCACGGTGCAGCCCCAAGCCAGGCAGGCAGCATGTCGGGGCCAGGGCAGGGTAAATGTGGGGGCAAACAGCGCCTGGCTGAGGGTGGCCAACCTGGATGCCAAAACAAACCCGTTTTATCCTTTTCTGGGATTTTTTGTCTTATTCTTACACCCGGGGGAGGCAGTTGCTGCCCATTAGAGGGGCCAAATTGATGTTTTCCCCTCTCCCAAACCGACCGGCTCTGTAGCATCATCCCCTCACTTGTGGACGGTGCTGAGTGCGTGGTGCTCGAGGTGCTCCTACGTCGTGCTCCTGTTTTCCGATGCAGTTCCCCCCTTCCCCATGGCCATCCCGTGCTTGCTCCCCAGACGCACATCTGTGCGGCCACAATGCTGGAGGCAAAGCCACGTTCGCCCTCTTTGTCAGCAATCCTGCTTGCCGGGGGATTAGAAGCATGCGGCAAGACAGGACTTGGCTTGGTGAAAGTCAACGTGCAAAAATTTGGGGTCGAGGGGGATGTGGCTGGGAGGAGGGGAACTCCTTGCAGCCAACACAGGGATTTCCATGGAGCAGCACAGGCCGTTGCAGGGAAGGGAGGACCTGGATGCAGATGGGCCCATGAGAGCTTTGGTGCTTCCGAACGCGCTCAGGTGGGAGAGGCAGCAAGCAGGACCTGCTCCCGTATCGCAGCAATGCCCTGTACCTCAGTTTCCACTTTCTCTAACCCAAAGCGAGCAAAGTTTTTCCAGAGGTTAAACCCATATTTTCCAGCTGGAGGGTCTCGCACGAGCCCCTCGCGCAGGCTCCTGGCCCCAGAGAAAACCCTAGGCGCCAATTCATCACACCTCAAGCGGGCCCAATTTCCCAGGGGGTTTCACCTCGCCTCAGCCGTTAACCCTCCCGCTTTCCCCCGGGCCCAGAGCCAAAGCAAACGCCGCGAGCGCTGGGGGCTGCTTTAGAGGGACGATGCCGGGGCAAAGGCGCCGCAGGCAGCTCCCGCCGGGCGTTATCCATGCGGATGCCCGGGCTCTCCCGGGCTTTGCGGCCGCGGGGCTCGGCGCTGCGGGGCTCGAGCGGTTTGGCAGCGTTGCAAGCAGCCGCGCGGCGCTTTCTCGCTTGCAAAATCCCCCAGGTGAGCGAGCAACACCCCTGCGCTCCCGCTGCGCGCTCGCCGGGGCCGGGGCCGGGGCCAGGGGGCTGGAGGGGGTGGGACCAGCCCGGCAATAAAATGCCACATCCAGGGCACGGAGCCCGGCGGAGCAGAGACACCGCGGGCGAGCGAGCGAGTGAGCAAGAAGTGAGCAAGAAGCTACCAAGAAACCAGTAAGGCGGCAGTCACCAGCACTCATCCCCGGGTGCGGAGGGTAACAACGGCCCCCCCAGGCCAAACCTGCGCCGCCGCGATGCCCAATTTCTCCGGCACCTGGAAAATGCGGAGCTCGGAGAACTTCGAGGAGCTGCTCAAAGCGCTGGGTGAGCGGGTGGTCGCGGTGTTTCCCCCCACCTCGCTCCCATCGCGGGTGCGGGAACTGAGGCACGGGGGGCAGCCCTCCCCAAAACGCCGTGCCCCGGCCCCGAGCATCACCCGTGGGGGGTGGCGGCTGGTCCTCCCCCGCCAGCCCGGGTCCCCCTTCCCTACGCCGGGTCCCCTCCCGCCTCTCGCCTCCGCCTGACCCCGCCGCAAGCCGCGCAGCCGCTGGAGCGGAATATTTTCCAGGTTAGGGGAGACGTCGGGAATCCTGGCGGGGAATTAGCGCTTTCTTGGATTTCACTCCCGTCCCTTGTCTCCCCACTCCCACCTTCTCCCACCTTGGGGGGAGGGAGATGCCCCTAGGCAGCAGTGGACTCACGCGGCTACATTTTTTGCTGCATTTTTGCTGCTGTTTTTTTTTTCTGGGGGTGGTGGCTTCTCTCCATCCCCCAACCTCGAGAAGGTGCCGCCGGCGGCACTCGGTGCGGTCCGGAGATCCCGGCTCTGAGTCAGGCCCCAGGCACTCGGCAACTTCCCCCCGCCGCCCCCGTTTGGGGTTTTTTTGGAAGATTTTGCTCCTTTTTGTTGCCTGAGGTTTTCCTTACGTGCGAAGGAGCGGGGGAGTCCGAAGAAAGCAACGCCTTGGGATGAGCGCGGGGGGTGGAAGGATGAATGGGATGAATGGGGGAGAGGGCAACTGGGGGGGGTGTCCACCCCCTGCCCATGTCGGTAGTTGCAGGGGGGGGCCTGGCCCTGCACTGACCCGGGTTGGGGGGCCGAGTTGCAGGAACAATGTCCCCAAAGAGCAGTAGGGATCGTGACGGATGAGCTGCCGCCGGGACAAAGCCGCTCGCTGCCCCCCCGGCGGCCCCCACTGCTCCTTTGCTGCGTCCCCTTGCAGCGCTGCTCCCCTCTCACGAGCCCCCAGCCTTAGAGGGGACTTCACTAAGCGAGCAGCAAGCTCGCTGCTCCTTCAGGTCCAAGCAGCAGCAATTACCCCTCTGTGGCACCTGGCAGTGATGGATGGGGGCAAAAACGTGGCAGCATCTGGGGAGGTGGAGTGGAGAGGGGGTTGGGGCTTGAAAAGGTCCTACGGGGGGGGAAGGGGGGTCACTTCCCCCCTCCCCGCAGAGTCACTTAACCTCCTGGCTCCGGGTCATGCAGCGGGGAAGGGGCCGGGTCGGGGCTCCCCGGCTGTGGCCGGGCTGGGGATGCGCGTGGCCCCGCGCCCCGCAGGGCGGTCACAGCGGCGTGGGGGAGCCCCGCAGGCGTCAACGTGATGCTGCGCAAGATCGCGGTGGCGGCTGCCTCCAAGCCGGCCGTGGAGATCAAGCAGGATGGCGAGAGCTTCTACATCAAGACCTCGACCACGGTGCGCACCACCGAGATCACTTTCCGCATTGGCGAGGAGTTCGAGGAGCAGACGGTGGACGGGCGGCCCTGCAAGGTGCGGGGGACCATCGTGAGCTGGACACGTGGGGCTGAGTGAAGGGCAGGCACTCTGCGTGCGTGCAACGGTGCAGATCGGCTCACACGTGTCCTTATGCACAGATGTGTGTGTGCATGGTGCAAGCGTACAGACGCTTGCAAGTGTATGGGCGCACATATACACAGTGCAAGCGCACAGATGCATGCATACAGATGCATGCACGCACAATGCAGGAGTCTAAATGCATGCAAGTGCACAGAGGTGTGAATTTGTGCATGGTGCATGCACACAGATGCAAACATGCACAGTATACACAGGTGCATGCAACGTACAGATATGTGCTTGCACAGCACAAGCGTGCAGATGCATGCATGCATGCAAATACATGCATGCAAGGTGCAAGCATATAGATGCGTGCAAGCGTATTGATGCATGCATATGCTTGCAGACAGTTGCATGTGTGCACACACGTGCATGTGCACAGATGTATGTGCGCGTGGTGCTTGCAAGCACACACCCCTCTGCATGGTCTGGCTGGGGCTGTGCTGTCCCCTCTCCCATCCTGCCATGTCCCCAGGCCAGATGCCGGGTTGGGGTCACCAAGTGGCCCTGTGCTGCTGGCTGCTGATGGATGGCCTTGTGTGGAGGTGGGGGAATGGGGTCTCACCCCTGCACCCCTCTCTCTGCCCACTGCAGAGCTTGGCCAAGTGGGAGAGCGAGAACAAGATGGTCTGTGAGCAGCGGCTGCTCAGAGGCGATGGGCCAAAGACGGGCTGGTCCCGCGAGATGACCAATGACGGGGAGCTCATCCTGGTGAGGCCTTTCGGGAACGAGGATGGGGGTGGATGTGGGGATGGAGGGATTCCCTGCCCGTCAGCTCCAGGGATGTTGCGGGGTCCTGGGGAGTGGGCCAGGCTGGTGCAGTGGGAAGCTCCTGGCAGCGTCTGCCGGGATTGACACTCGCTCCCTCCTTGCAGACCATGACGGCCGACGACGTCGTCTGCACCAGGGTCTACGTCCGCGAGTGACGCCACAGACCCTCCAAGAGGGTCCCCCCAACACAATCTCCCTCCCGTTTGATCCCATGCTGCATTTTGTACCGCCTCCCACGGACGGAGCGGCTCTTCCACAGCTTCCGCTTGCTTCCAGCCCCGGTATTTATTTGTTAATATTTTATTGCAAGTCCAAGCAGCTCTGCCGGGCTCAGGAGCCCCCCACCTGCTCCTGGGGGCCTCTCCGCTGCCTCCATTCCCCTCCTGCATTTTTTTAATAAAAGTCTCCAGAGCCCCCGCCGCATCCATGCTCCGTGGCGAGCAGGAGTAACCCGAGAGCTCTGGGAACAGGCGCCTGGAAAAGGGCCACCTTTCATCGGAGCCGGAGCGGGACCCCCCGCGGCGGGAAGTGCCAGGGACGCGCCTCCCCCCCCACCAGTGTCCCCGCTCCGGTCCTGCTCCCGCGGGATTGTGCAAAGCGCCACGGCCCGGCTCCGCGTGGGAAGCGGCGGCCCCGGGGCAGGGAGGGCTCCGAAGGACGTCGGGGTGGATGATGGGGCTTGGGGACACAGGGAGCGGGGAGGGGGACACGGGGGTGACACGATGGCATCAAACCTGGCTTAGCACATCCCGCCTGTGCAGCCCTTGGCCCTGCGGTAGCTGCTAATTGCGCTTAATGATGCAGTTGCTATTAACTATGCTGGGGGCTGTGGCGGGGGTCCCTTTGTGGGGGGTGGCTGAGCACCCTGGGGGGCTCCATCCATGAGGATTCCTCGGGACGGATGGCATTTCCCCTGCGGGAAAGGCCGGGAAGGGCGTCAGGGCAGCCCCTTTTGGGGGAGAAAGGGAAGGATTAGGGCAGTGGGGGGGATCTCTTTGTTGTGGATCTGGATCTGGCCCCAGGCACCAGGAGAGCCCCTGAAGCTCGCAGGGCCCCTAATGAGAAGCAGGCGCCCGCCGACTGCCCCTTCTCCTGCTTTTCCCATTTGGAGAAATATCCCCTTTCCTGATGGCTGCCCCAGGGACAGCTCCGATTTGTCTCTTCTGTGCCAGAGGGGAAGCCAAAGCAGTCGGGGCGAAAGCAGAGCCAGATGGGGAGGGGGGCACATCTGGATGGGGGGCTGTGCCAGGGGCTTGGGGTCCCCACAGGGCATCGCCGGGAGCATCCGGATATGTGGGCACCAGTGGGAACCCCCTCGCGGTTTGGAAGGGGGCGGCGGGGGAGGCTGTGTGGGTGGCTCTGGGCGCCCCCAGCTGCCTGAGGCACCTCTAATCCAGCGGGAATCCCTCCCCGCGCTTGACCTCTGCTCCCGGGTTCTCCCCGCTGCGCGGAGCGGGGCAGGTTATCCCCGTGCATGTACCGGGGGCTGCCGGCACCGAGCCCGGCCGGCGGTGGGACAGAGAAGCCCTGGCCAGGGGCCAGCATTGTTCTGCGGAGACCCCGGCCCCCCCTTCCTGCTGCTCCTCCTCCTCCTCCTCCCTGCTTCCAGCCGCATCTGGCGCTGGCCCCTCTGCTCTGTCCCCTGTGCGTGAAGCAGGATGGGGGGGATGCATTTTAGGTGTGGGGGGAGCACGTGGAGCCTGGCTGGGGGGGTCCGGGGTTGCGCGGGCAGAAGATGGTGCAAAATGCTCCACGGGCTGCAGAGATGGAGCGGGGGGCAACCCTGGCGTGCTCCGGGGTTGGGGGAGCTCCAGGGGCGAAGCCGCTCTGCATGCCCCGCTCCAGACCACGGCATCCGGCTGCGCTAGACGGGATCAGGGCGGGAGCCCGGCGGGCGGCGCCCGCGGCTGCGCGAGCCGCTGCTCGGGTCCTGCTGCCCGCGGCTGCAGCTTCGCTTCCCGCTCGCTTCCCGCTCGCTTCCCCCTCGCTTCCCGCTCGCTTCCCGCTCGCTTCCCCCTCGCTTCCCCCTCGCTTCCCGCTCGCTCCCGCTCTGGCTAAGCTGCTGCGGATTGCAGCTCACTTCCCACTCACTTCCCACTCGCTTCCCGCTCGCTTCCCGCTTGCTCCCGCTCTGGCCAGGCTGCTGCTGGTTGCAGCTCACTTCCTGCTCGCTTCCTGCTCGCTTCCCGCTCTGGCCAGGCTGCTGCGGGTTGCAGCTCACTTCCCGCTCGCTTCCCACTCACTTCCCACTCGCTTCCCGCTCTGGCTAAGCTGCTGCGGGTCGCAGCTCACTTCCCGCTCGCTTCCCGCTGCAGGGGCCGTGGGGAGGCCGCACGGAGCGGCCGCACGCCCGCTCGCTCCCCGCAGGGGCAGGCGGAGCTGCCACTCTCCTCCTGCTCTGCTGTCATCGGCAGCGCGTTCCACCGGCTCGCTCTGCCTCAGTTTCCCCATGCGCAGTGTGATTCACCGCTGGCCGCCCGCGGCTCCGGCAGCACAGGCAGGGCAGGGAGCCTGGGATAATGACAGAGCGCGGCGGGGAAAATCCAGCTGCAGCCGCCACGGAAAGTGTCCCGGTTCCCGGGGCGCTGGCGAACGTGGCCGGGGCAGCCGGCGCGTGGAGAGAGCCCCAGGGCCGCCAAAGGGCTGGGTGACTTCAAAGGGTGCCCAGGGGACGCGGGAAGGTGCTGACAGGGCAGGGAGGGAGCCTGGCTCTAAGGAACAGCAGGGCCCGGAGCATCCAGGCTCCTGAGCTCAGGAATACGGATGTGCTGGACTAGGGGGGAGCATTCCCAAGGTGTCCCGGGCCCTGAGGCTGCGGTGTCCCCATGGGGGACCTGGTTTGGTCACCTCCTCCGTGTGCCATGCTTGAGGGTGGGATTGAGGCGCGGGATCCAAGCGGGCAGCAGGAACAATGCGGACAAGGCAACTGGGAGTTGCTTTTAATGCCACATACAAAGATTCCCTCCCCGAAAAAAAAAAAAAAAATCTAAATTCTTCCAAAAATAAATTAGAGGGATGGGTTTTCCCCCCTACCCCCTTCTGTTCTGTGCAAAGAGAAAGGAAAATCCCCCTCCGCCCCCCGGGGCCCAACCTAGGCTTCAGCAAGGAAAGAAAACGGACAAAGCAAGTTAAATAGGTCCAGCATGGGCCCCAGGGTGCAAGCCAGCCCCTCGAGGCATCCAGAGCCCGGATCCGCGCATGGAGAGCGCCGGGAAGAGCCACGGACACCGGCAGCGCGGGGGCCCCCCCGTGCCGAAGGCGAGGGCGGCGCAGAGGCAGGCGGCCGGTTTCCAACGTCTGCCACCCGGCTCTGCGACCCAGCCCCACGTCGAGCACGGCCCTGTGCGGCTCTCCCCACGTCCCCGCACGGCTCTGCGCAACGCTGCTGCTCCGCGAGGCCACGCGGCTGCCCTGCTGGGGAAACCGAGGCACGCGGCAAGGCCCGGCTTCCTCCTCGCTCCTGGCGCAGAGCCCGCCGGCTGCCCGCGCTGGTGCTGCCAGCTGGAGCAGGCAGGAATTGGCCACCGCTTTTGCCTCCCTGTGACGCCACAAGCTGCATCCTGGTGCCACCAAGCCCGGCCTGCGCTCCCCTTGCCCTGGAGCGGGACCCTATCCGCAGGGAGGGGACGCTCCAAAGCCGTAGGCAGCCCCACAGCCGGCTCCTGGGGGGCACAGGGGAGGTGAGGTGCTGTCGGAAAGGTGACCTATGTACATCCCTGAATGTCACGGCTCTCTGAGACCCCTTCCGCGCGGAGCTGCCCCGCTCCCCAGCCCCTCTGCGGGAGCAGCCCGGCTGCCACCCGCAGGGGCCCCGGCTATGAGGTCTGGCACTGGACGTGTTGGCGCATGCCGTCCTCGAAGTCGTCCTCGTGATACGCCTCGCCTGTATAGGGCCGTCGGCCCGGGCCCCCCTGGGATGTGTAGTCGCTGAGCTCCACCTCCTCCGTGTCCTCCGTGGCCATCACCTCCTCCTGGGGTGGGAAGAAGGCCTGGAGCTGGCGGAGCCGCTCGGTGGGGAGCCAGCCGGGCTCAGGGAATTTCACCTGGGAAGAGCGGAGAAGAAACGGAGGTGGGATGGGCACCCAGTGCCGGAGCTGGCACAAGGAGCGGCTGGAGCTTGACGAGGATCAGCCTTACCTGGAATTGCAGGATGAGTTTGCCCTTCTGGAAGGGGCTCCTGTAGACGGGCATGCCCTCATTGGGGACACACTTCATGTCCCCCGGTCGGATGACGTCACCTGGGATGGGAGGTTTGCACAGTCGTGCTCTGCAGCACCTTGCCCTGGCCCCGGGCCTCGGCAGCACCCCGGCTTCGTGCCGGCACTGCCTCCACGGCAGCGAGGCCCGGGAACATCCAAGCACAACCTGGGACGTCGCCCCTAACCCACCCCAAGTTGTGGAGGCCGCATGGGGATTGGAAAGGGAGGAAGAGTCATACACACAAAGCGAGCAAGGCCACGGCTGTGAGCAGGAGCCAGGAGATCTGCTCACCACAGCTCTCCCCACCAGAACGGCATCGCTTCTAGCATCACGATCTCTGGGATTGATCTGCCCAACCTCCCCATCTCTCTAACCAGTTTCAGTGCCAGAATGCAGTCGTCCAGACCTCACCACCCACACGAGGGACCCAGGCACCGTGGCAGCTATCTCACCTGGCTGTGAGGCGATGAGCAGGGTCCTGTTATCCAGGGTGCGGATGACCTGCCGGCAGCCGCACAGAGCATCCGCCAGGCTGATCTCCCTCTTGACGATGAGGTCGTCGCCGCTGCGCCGGAAAACAGGGTGTTCCTTCTGGTCCAAGACGATGACTATGTCTCCAGGCTCCAGGCCGGGGACTTGGTCCCCCTCTTCATGGAACGTGATCTTCTGCCCGTCCTTCATGCCTGCAGGATGCCCGGGCAGAGCTCAGGGCCTGGGTCTGCATCCCAGGAGCCTGGGGGTGGGCAGCTCTTTGCCAGCCCCTAAGCGCTGGGGGATCCTCCTCTCACCTTTGTCCAGGTGGACGCTGAGGATCTTCTTCTCTCGGACAACCTTGCGGCCATTGCAGGTGAGGCAGCAGTCCCGGGGCCGGATCCACTCGCCCTGGCCCTGGCACTGGGAGCACATCGTCTGGATCTGCTGGATCATGCTGGGCCCAAGCTGGTGGATACGGACTTCCATGCCTGAGCCATGGCACTTGGGACATCTTCTCTGGGCACCTTCCCGGACCCCACAGCCTGCAGGCGAGAGGTAGCCGAGGAGGTCAGTGCGTGGGAATGAGGCAGGAGTGGATCTCAGTGCTGATCCCGGCTCCCTCGCCACGCTGGGATGGGATCCCGGGCATCTCAGCACTCTCCCCCTCCAGCACGAAGCCGGGTCTCACCTCCACACTTCCTGCAGATGATGTTCTTCTGCAAGGAGAGCTTCCGAGTGGCGCCGTTGTAGAGGTCCTCCAGAGACACGGAGAGCTGGTGCACCACTGTCTTCCCTGGCCCCGCGGAGAGGAAAGCCCGGATCAGCACCCTGGCACCTAACACCTCTACGAAGGCTGCAGCAGCTCCCGGGGGAACACAGGGGCTCCACAGCCACCATGCAGGACAAAGCTGCGCTCCTTTGGTCACCACTGTCCCCTCTGATGGGTTGCCAAGCACAGCCCATCTGGGCATCCCTAATTCTCCCTCAGGAACGCTGACTGGACAGCTTCCCTCTGAAGCTGGCACTGCCTAATCCTAGGGATGGGGACAGCAGGAGGAACAGGAAAAATACTTAAGCCGAGCTTGGAAGAGCCCTTTGGCAGGGATCTGCTTGCCTCTCCCAAGCTGCCAGCGTCCCTAGGGCCAGCCCCAGGGCCCGGGGCGGTTGGGAAGGGCTCCTGGGAGAGCAGCGCAGCCGGCCCGGCTCTCAGCAGGGCTGAGGCAGTTTACGGCCTCAGCCCGCTTTGACAGGCTTTATCTAGAGCTGCTGGGACGCTCTTGTTTGTGCCCTAATTACCCCGCTATTAAATCCAACCGCTTCAGCAACAACAGCCGCGGTGGAGTCACCGGCCAGCCTCTCCCATGACCCAGGCCCCAAGCATCCGCGGAGTCACCGGCGCAGCCCTGCACGCCCCGCGTCCCGTCCCAGCCCGGCCGGGCGCGCGTGGAGCCCAGGGCAGCGCGGCCCTGACTCACCGCCGGCCCTGGCGGCGGGGGCAAGGCTGGGCCAGGCCCTTTGAAGAGGGGCCCGCGGAGAAAGTAATGAAAGGCACGACGGAGAACGCAGCGCGGAGGCAGCCCGCGGGCCACCAGCTGCCTCCTGCTGTCCCCAAAGCGGCCGCAGCACCGCGAGCCCCACGCCGGGCCGGTACCTCGCCGGTCGCCGCGGCCGCGCATCCGCACGCCGCCGCCGAAGAAGAGGTCGAAGATGTCCATGGGGGAGCCGAAGCCGTTGCTGCCGCCGCCGCGGCCGCCCAGGCCGCCTTCCTTCATGGCCCGCTCGCCGCCGCGGTCGTAGAGCGCCCGTTTGTGCGAGTCCGACAGCACCTCGTAGGCTTGGGAGATCTGCTTGAACTGCATGGAGGAGAAAGAGGAGGGCAGGATGAGGAGGATGAGGGGCCAGGGAGCGGGCACGGCCGCCGGTGCCGGGGCACCTACCCGCTCGCCCTCGCTGGGGTTCTTGTCGGGGTGGTAGCGCAGCGCCAGGCGCCGGTAGGCCCGTTTGATCTCGTCCAGCGTGGCCCCCGGCCGGACGCCCAGCAGGTCGTAGTAGCCGGTCTCCTTCACCATCTTCGTGCCTGCCGACGCGCTGGGAGCGGAGGGAGCCGTGAGAGCCCCGCCGCAGCCCTGCCAGGCCCAGCGGCGCCCGGCCCTGCCCCGCAACGCGGGGGAAGGGGAAGGGGCTCCCTCCCTGGGGAGTCACCCACGTCCCCAGCCTGTCCCTGCCTCAGTTTCCCCATGTTTTAAAGCAGCAGCATGCACCAGGGCAAAGCGCTTCGGGCCCGACTCAGCACAAGGGCCCACGGGCCCAGGTGCTGCCGGCTGATAAGGCCCCACGCAGGGTGGGGACGTGTTTATCAGGTGGCACGGAGGGGACATGGAGGGGACGCGGGGACACCGTCCTCCCCACCCGCGCTCGCGTCCGGCCAGGCAGCGCAGTGAGGGTGTAACGAGGCAATTACGGACACAGAGGGACACACGGAGGGACAGACGGACACGGAGGGACACGGAGGGATGCATGGGCACGAAGGGACGGGCAGACACGGAGGGACAAGGAGGGATACAGAGGGACATGGAGGGACACAGAGGGACAGACGGACACGGAGGGACACACGGACACGGAGGGACATGGAGGGACACGGAGGGACAGACGGACACGGAGGGACATGGAGGGGCAGACAGATACGGAGGGACCGAGGACAGGCGGACACGGAGGGACACACGGACACGGAGGGACAGGTCCCACGGCTCGGGACCGTCCCGGCTCTGCGAGCGGGGCCGCCCGGCAGGCGCGGGGCTCGTGTCACCCACCCGTGTCCCGTGGGTGCGGGGGCGGTGACACCAGCGGGGGAGGGAGCAAGCCCCGGGAGGGGGGGCGCGTGGGCCCAGGCGTCCGAGCGCGGCAACCAGAGCCCCTTGACGGGGGCCCAGGCGCCTGACAGGAGGTGGGCGCTG